CCTGAGTTATCTTGCTGCAAAATATCATTTCTAGCTTCTGCTCTTTCTTTCAATTGGGTTATTGCATTCTTGTTGTGGTTCATGTTCTTTGATTTGTACAGGCGATAATTTGTGGGAAAGTAGGCCAAGCACCGTTACAGAAGATCTTAAGGAACGGGAGAACTGTAACGATCTTCACGGTAGGAACAGGGGGCATGTTTGACCAGAGGCTTATCGGAGCAACCAATAAGCCGAAACCAGCTCAGTGGCATAGAATCGCAGTGCATAACGAAGTGCTTGGCTCTTACGCTGTCCAAAAACTCGCTAAAAAGTAAGCTTCACTACATGTTCAACTATCTTAAACAAGGGAATTGTATTAACAGTAGTTAGCAGTTCTTACTGCATATTAAGTAAGTGATAAGTCCGTTAGAATGTAAAATGCATAAACTCATAACTTGAATAGTTTGTTTTACATTCACAAATCTCTTTCTCTGTCTTCAATCTGTCTGTTTCTTCTTTATTTGTTCGATCTATCAGTTAGGTGAAAGGTGTTGTTTTTATTCTTAACTTTTTTGCTGATGGATTTGTTACAGCTCATCGGTTTATGTCGAAGGTGACATAGAGACTAGAGTGTATAATGATAGCATCAGTAGTGAAGTGAAGAGTATCCCAGAGATTTGCATTCGCCGTGATGGTATGTTATGTTCATATTGTTGATCTTAATCATCGATGTAGTTGCGGACTTATGTTTCTCTTGCGTTGTTGTAGGGAAGATTCGGCTGATCAAATATGGGGAAAGCATTAGCAAAATCTCTTTCGACGAGCTAAGTAAGTTATCATTTCTTACTCCTTAAAAAAAGAGAGAGATATTTGCTTCTGTTGCTTGAATCTTTGTTCCTCATTTGTCAGAAGAAGGATTGATTTAATCGGAGCATGTATATTCCGGCTCGGCCGGAGGAGGGAAGAAACAGAATCAAGGGTTTTCTGAGTAAAATCGATAAAACAGTTTGGTTTTTGGCTGTGAGCACTGAGTTTCCTTTCATGGATACCAGGGGCATTTATGTAACTTCGGGTCAAAACTAATCCTTCCGGTTTAACAAATTTACGGTTATTTTAAGTTGCGCTGCACAATTTTATTTTGACGCATCGTATTCTAGTAGTAGTGGGTGTGTTTTTTATATGG